TTAACTGCTGAATCAAAATCTTGCTGAACTAACTGAAGAATAAATATCCTTTTCAGTTGATCCATTTACCAGAATAATTGCTTAACTTCTGTGAAACTAGTCTAAGCTTTATAATTTACTTCGTAATAAAGAACATAAGTTTGTATTACAACGTGTAAAATGATTTTCTTTCAGTTTCTTCCTGGACAAACCTCTCATGCTTTGGAGGACATCAAGGAAGAGGATAGCTGTAGTACGTTGCATCCCTCAACGTCCCCACATCAATCAATTACCCCAACAGATCCATCAACGTCCCAGGAACAATCAATGGAATCCTTAAGTGAGACGACAGAGAGTGTTTTACTCACGGAGGAGACTCATGGAGGGACGACGGACGAAACTTGTCCTGTGAAAGAAACACTTCAAGAAGAAGACAATTTAGTAATGGAGAGTAATAATGATTCCTCAGAGAATGAAGGCAAAACTGAAGATATTGACTTAGGAAACGAAGATAGATTACGACGTTTAGAAGAGGGAGAAAATTGTTTGAAAAATGTTTCAAGTAAACATGAAAAAGACCTTGAAATATTAGAAGATAGGACTTCAAATGAAATGACTGCAAAGTCATGTTCAAAAATCGGCTATGAACGAGCTACATTGAGTTCAGTTGAAATGAGCTCCCAGCAAACAACTGACAATTCTGTTGAAACAGACGTTACGTCATCTGACGCAATATGCTCAGATGACGTCATACTATCATCTAGCCAGAGCCCAGGTCTAGCGAAGGAAGATCTTGATTTTAAAAGCGAAACTGATCCAGCACTACAAATGTACAGTACTCCTAAATTAAGACCGTATAAGGATGCTGAGGTTGAACAAGGGTTGGAAACAGATAAGGAAGGATATGGAGAGGGGATATCTAGAGATAGTGGAATACATGAAAGTAAAGATGATGTTGATGAAGTGGATAGTGATGGTCATAAGTGGATAGATCCGCACAACTCTGGTAAATTTGTTTTTCATCCTGATGCGTTGTCCTTATTTTCTTATTTGTGTATTTTTGTTTGCTCAAGTTTTATTTTTGTATGTTTTATAGAATCGTTAGAGGACAGCGTCTTTCCAAGAAGATCAGAACATTACGCGGACATGCCTAAATATTTGTGCGTAAGAATAAAGAGATCGTGTTGGCGGGAACACCGTCCTGTGTGCTGTCGTTTTGCACATGAGGCAATTCAACGAGCAACGACGAAAAGAGAATTCTGGTTTTCCATTCCTTGTGAAAGGTTAGTGATACTGTCATAATCCAGTGATCTGGCGTTCTCGCGTCATGGGCGAACTAATACCTTAGCAAGATCGAATATACTGAAATATGCTGGTTTAATTATTGTTTCAATACTTACCATACGGTTTTTACAATGTGTCAATCATTTTTCCTTCCAGGGATTTGAACTTGTGGATAATTTCTTCTCCGGCAGCCCGGAAAAAGAGGTACGTCGATTAAAATTGATATCGTTGAAGACGTTCTTGCCAGGCGATATTAAAAAAAATGAACAGGAAACTTGTAAAGGCAGTCTGGTTGACCACGGAGCTTTGAACCTGATTTAGAAGCAGATGAATCAACGAAAGACGAGGAAGAGAACTCACAGTCGGGAGAAAAAGAAGAAAAAGAAATCAGAAACAAAAGAACCAGAGAGAAGAACAAGGTTTGTAAAGATTCTGACATCTAGTGATATATATCCTGTGAGTTGCCTGGAACGAGAAAGACTTGTGCTGACGATTCTCCAATATTTTTAGTTCCTGGAGTATGTGTTCGATGGAAGAACCGATAATGCCTGAAGTTATTGGTAAATCTGAAATTCTCACAGACTCGCATATCTTACAGGTACGCACTCTTGTTAGGGATTTCTACAGCTTTCCGCTGATTTTCACAAATTTTCTCCTGTAGCAACACTTGATCACTCATGAAGAGAAGTGAAACGTACAGTATCTGATTTTATTAATCTCTCTGTTTCAGCTTTCTCAGTGTCTTCCGTCTCGTACGATTGGACACAGCTGGCGCCTCATCTACAGCACATATCTTCATGGTATCAGTCTGAAGACATTATATCGAACATTAGCAGAATACGACACACCAGCCTTGCTTATCATCTTGGATGACTCACACCAGGTGAGATCAATTAGAAAAAACACTTTAGAACTGATAGAGCTATCCAGTATAAATAAAGTTAGTTTAGTTTAGGTTTCCTCCTGTAGTAACACTGGATCAATAAGAGTGATCCCTACTGGATCTCTAGGAAGAACAGTTTAGAACTGATAGATCTATCCAGTATGGGTGAGGTCTGTTTACTTGTACATATTTCAAAATGGATGATCTTTTTAGGTCTTTGGAGCGTTCGCTTCCAGTCCCTTTGCTGTGAGTGAACATTTCTATGGCACAGGAGAATGCTTTCTCTACACGTTTCATCCGCATTTCAAGGTAAGAACAACAAGTTTATCCTACACAAGACTTGTGTTTCGTTTATTAACGAATCTTCAATAATCCTTTCTATTCTGCAGGTCTTTCGTTGGAGTGGCGAGAATAACTTTTTCATCAAAGGAGACATGGACGCCTTGGCTTTTGGCGGTGGCCAGTAAGTTTATATCTCAGGCTTTGTTTTACCAACTAAAGTAGACTAACAACTAAGATAAGATCCTCTTAATTTTGAAAAAATGATCTAATCTTAACATTTAAGATTTCTTTCTGTCTATCATCCCCAGCATGTGATTTAGAAACCAATAAAGCTATTCTAATATTTTTATATACGATTCAACCTCGTAACATCGATCTAAAGCATATAATTTTTCGGCAGAGGCAATTTTGGTCTGTGGTTAGATGAGGATTTGTATCATGGGAGTAGCCATCGTTGTAAGACTTACAACAATGAACCTTTGAGCACTAAAGAAGACTTTCTATGCAGTGGTGTGGAGATTTGGTGCTTTGAGTAAAATAAATAAGTGAAAATTATAAATAGTGTTAAAAGAATACAGTATATGTATTTTTGCTCTTAAAATTGTTAGTGATAAATCCAATTATAAATCAAGTTTATGGTAAATTTGAAAACACGTAACCGTGTTACAATACTGCGTCATAATATGTCATACAAATGCTCTATAAATAATCCATAAATAATGATCTGGTTTGCAGGAAATATTTCCGAAGGTGACGTCCTGAATTGTTGCGCTATAGATAACCAATGGAGAAGGTTTAAGAAAATGAATTTATTTAATGAAATTATAATTATTACCTTGAAGAAGAGTTTGTGAATTTGAATTGCTTTGAATGCTTTTATCAATTTAATTTCTTTTGAGTCGTGTGGCGCTGTTTTAACCAGTAAAATTAAGTTGAATGAAAATGCGTGGAGTGTACAAGCACAACGTTTTCTACCGGGGAAAAGCAGGTGAAATCTATTAATTTTATTTCCTCTAATAATTTAAACATTAAGTGTAACGAGTCATACCTCGTTCAATATATAATCTAACATTAATTTACTCTAATAATTTACTCTACGTCATAATGATTATTATTGATGAAAACATCAAAACAATATTCCAAAAAGCGCCCAGATCACGTCATCGTGCTGTCGTCATCACTGATGTTCCCAGAGTTTCTGTTCCACGCACGGCCTTTAATACTGCCAGAGACCTGTGACTTAGATCGTGGCTGCATAGTATCTGAATAGTTACTCTGAAATATATATATACATATTAACATTAAACTTAATATATGAAAACTTGGCATATATGAATAGTACTTTGAATCCTTACCTCGTTGTCAGATTCGTCACCACCTAAGCCCCAGCCGCTATTTCCAGCTGCTTTTGTGAAGTCGAAATGACTGTTGCGACTTCGTGACGACGTCTTTGACCGCGATGATCGCTGCGTTTCAACTGGAATATCATCATCGAAGATGTCACTGCAGATTCGTCAATCATAGGAATAAACAATGAAATATATTAATTGGTAAGTCATCATTAAAAGACTGAAACACCACGAACAAACAAAGGTACCTAGAGTTGTTGAACCCATTTTCAGATCCATTTGGGAAAGATCTATCAAACGTCTTGTTGAAAGACACGGTATTTCTCGGTGTCAGTTCTTCTATATTTAAAAAAGATGCATCATTGGTCACATCCGAGACACATTTAGCTGCAGTAAATTATGGTCACATACGTTCACTGTCTGACAAAGGCCACGTATTTCTTTCCCTCAATCCCTAAAACAATCAAATTAGGCAAGCTCTAGGATATGGTTATCACAAGAAAACACCAGAGCTATCATCATCTAAATACTCACCATATTTCCACTTGTTTCAGAAGCACTGTCAAGATCATTGAGGTCTAAAATAAAGACAAGCCCTTTTTAGTTTGAATTCCACCTATCCGCTCCTAATTCTGATAATATGATATCATTTTATAATCCACCTTGTTTTTTGTTGAGATCGTCGAACAGCCTTGAATTAAAATCACCTCTCTCGGCTTCAATGAAAAGGAAACTGTATCTCAGTAAAATCTGTGTGATAAATTAGATATTTATTAGTTATACCTTCAGACAAACTGTTATCGTTATCACCAATTATTCTAAAAGAAAAGAGAGTATTAAAATAGACATTGTTCTTGAAGATTTTGAACGTGAAAATACTTTTTATTTCAGGATGTAAGAATACCTGGCACATCTTGCACAAATTGTGACGGAAACTTCTTTATTTCCCATCCGTTTTAACTAAGAAGGAAGTAAGATATTTCATGTTAAAAAAGACTATAAAAGGAAAAATTATAAATAAAGATAGTTTTGCTTCATGGACCAGTTTAAATTTACTTTATCGAGTTTAGCTCCTTTGAGAGATGGCGTTTCATTTACTCCTTCGTTCTGTAAATCTTCCATTCTTTCCAATTATTTCTGTTCCACGTTCTTCAGGGGAGGAATTTTTTGTACTTCTTTTCTTTTTCCCCGGACCATCTTCCAACAGCAGCGCCTAAACGTAAATATTTCTGATTTAAACTATGTACGAAACAAGAGGTTCACTTCTGTGAAAGTCTCGCGCCTTGGAAGACGATTTCTAAAAAAACAGGGAAACAAAACGTATACAAGATTCAACTTCCACCGACACTGCCAAGCGAATTCAAGCATTTAGCGAGGCAGTCTCAACCTGTAATTCTTTGCGGTGCTTCTCAACTTCTTGTCTGCTTGTTTTTATAGATCGACCCCTGGAGGAATGACAGACGAATGTTAGTTTTGAAGACAACAATATGATGTAATTACTTCTCGTTAATCACCTACAGTCAGCGATGTCAAAGCATTTTATTCTGAACGTCACACGTGTCATGCGTCAAATGCATTAAAAACAAAAGGTAATGAGCTAAAATCTCATTATCTATTGTTTTTATGCCTCATTATGTTCAGGTATATAAGAAGAGCGAGGTTTGACCCAGCCCTTGTTTAACGCTCACACGTGCAGATAGAACTTCATCATCAAGAAAACTTCTGAAGAAAATCTCGCTCGTCTGCACGAGGCGTAATTCTGATTTAGTGCATGGGATAACATTATCCGAATTTTGTGAGTGAATAAGACTCGTACCCCGATATCATTGATACAGGTTGGTGAATATCTTTATCTGATTGCTTCGATTTCAAACGAAGTTCGCTGCTTAATTCATCCTTGTCATCTGCTTCATATGAAATCTTTTGTTCAGAACGTCTGCTCTCGCCGTCGTCCCAGCTTCGAACTAAACATTTCATGAGAAAGATTCCTTACAACGACGTACCACCGGGCACTGGGCCGTTCAAATTATGGAAGTAATGATGAAATTTCACGCGCTACGAACTAAACACGGCAGTGTTCAAATGATATATTACCCCCACGATATATATCTTGATTTGGCGAGGATTTGATCTGAGCTGCACCTTCGTTCTGCATTTGAAACAGCTCATCAAAGTCCTTAGTTGGAACGCGAGTGTCATTGTTCCACGAAGGTTTAGACTCTGCAGAGAAGGTAAGATTTGCTTTAAATTTCTAGCCTGTGTTTATTATATAAAATCCGTTTTATTTATCAGCATTCTCTGCTCTTCAATTCAGGTTGATGCAGTACAAGAAAAATGCGGACAAGAAAAATACAATTTGGCTGGATGAACCACTCTATAACTTTGAACTAGGGCTGCGAACATTTGATTGCAAACCCTCATGGACGAGGATTTATTTAAGAAAATGTGTCCAGGAAAGAACGCTAACAATGGTGAGAATATATCTCTTGTTGAAGTTTGAACTACAGTTTTACTAAATGTTTGTTTCTGCTCACTCATGCAACGGAGAAGCAAAATCATCCAGATAGAAAGCTAAATCAGGTCAATATATCCAAAAGCATTAGCAAATGGGACACAGGCAGATATGGTCTTTATGTTAACTGTTTGCTGCCATAGTCTCTTGTGTAACTGTTGAGTGAAATCACTGGACATACCACAGAATGGTTTAAGAAAAGTGTACAGATGCTACAAAGCTTTGTTTTCTAAATTTGATAATCCTAGATGAGACATCTACCTTCAACTAGTCTAACCTTGTCTATCACCTGACCATGTTTCATTCTTAACAGTTTTAAAATAATTTCCAGTCCAAGTTCTCAATTGATTATCCTGTTTTTTAGATTCCTGTTGATCCACACCAGCAGACCAGGATGCAGCCAAATTATGATCTGACCTCCTCTTATTACCTAATATGGATCCAGTTTAAAAAAAAAATGGATGGATGAATTTTCACTGTAAATTGGAAAGATGTGTGTCCATGCAGTACAATCAATATGAGGTTTGTTATATCTTCATTATCTTGTATAGTCGTTTCTTAATCTGCACATTAAAAACCTTGTATTTTAATTGCCTTGTGTTCACAGGCAACAATAAGTAGCCAGATTTGTTGTTCTGTCTGTAACTTAGAATATAACAACTAAAAGCTTTATTGAAACAGTTTTAAATTATCAAGAAATATCTGGTATTAATAAACAAATGCTATTCACACCAAAATTTATACAATTGTATACTAACCCCCACTTTGTGAATGATACGTCTGCCTTGAAGATGATCTGGGTGACATGTGATTATTCTATATGTAACAAATTAGTAAAATTTTATTCTTTGAACCAATGAAAAATGCCAGCAATCACTGATGTAGCAAATTTGTATTGAATCAAAAATTAACTTACAAAACTACTTTCAAGTTGCTTGGCTTGTTTCTTATGCATTACTTGTAGAATTTCAATTATATATCCAATTGGATCATCTGGTGTGTCCTGAATGACTCTTGCCATTAATGACTAAACACAACTCAATCCATGATTGTTATTTCCGCACAGAAAAGCTTGTCTATAAAAGGCTTTCAAAGTCGTATATTTTTGAAATAATTTTCTTATACTTTTACTGAAAAATGAAGTAATTTTTACGGATGTATAGTATTAGAGGTATTCTGAAGGCTGGCAGCTCTGCTATGAATACAGTAATTGTAAAATATCAAACATGTATTTTTGAGAGAGGATTTTTGTCAATTTCCCAGCATCTACGTCGAATTTCGAAATAAAATGTCAACACCAAAGTTCAAATTTTACTATAAGTAACACCGCCTCGTCTTACGTATAAAACAGGTTTCATAAATCTTTAACTTCTGAGATACTAACGGAAAACACAGGCTTTGAGGAACGCAAGTTTTATTAAACTGAACGCATAGTATATAAAGAAAATGAACGCTAGCAAAATACACATGATCAATTTTCGTTTTAAAAGAATCTTTTTACCTCGAATAACGGCCCAATTTTATGCTTTTTTAAGTAGTTCTGAACTCTTATTGCAGCCATCTCGTATTTATACACAGTAATAGAAAAGAAAATAGTTTAAAATTCCATTTTATGTTCAACTTCAGTTGTGTAAATCAACTCGCGATACAGCCGCCATGTTACGCGGGTAACCATAGCATGATAGCAACATGACGACACAGTGTTGCCAGATGAAATTTCAAAATATTCATGTTCGCTTACGTCAAAAGTTCACAAAAACAAGACGCCGTTCTGGCGTTAACTCCGGCGCACGTGCCAGTCTTCAATATAGAGCTTCTGGACATAAACAATACAGTTCGCGTATTGTTTCGCATACATATTCGCATTTAGATGCCTCATGCCTTACGAACCTAAATGTTCGATCGCGAAATTCAGAAGCACATCGCAGTATAGAAGTTCAATTGTTCAAAAATGTAAATAAACCGCATGATACATTCGCTTCGTCTTACACTTCGCCTTTGGAATTCGCGCTTATATAGTTGTATTAAATCTTCGATCCTGTGCAAACTACGCGACGTGTCAACGCGCCCATACACGACCACATCATCTTGTTAAACGGCGAAATAGCAGCGATATTATTAAAATAGGACCGGGTCTACATGTATTAAATATATTCTTACCCCAATTCAATCTAAACTTAATCGCAGCATGAAAAGAACGGTTTATTTGTTCCTCTTGGAGAATTGCCGTATCATGCGAGCGAAATCGAATCGCGCATTGGAAAATTAGCCAAAGCTGTGCACCACAACTCTTGGAGATAGACTGGGACGTAGATAAATACGGTCACATACACGTTTTAAGTACTAGTATATTTCGCGCCATTACACACTTGCGACGACGAAAAATAAAAAAAAAAAATACGGGGCGAATTTTCAACTCCGTCGCTGACGCCGGAGTAATTACAAGAAGCTCATATATCTAAATTTTCTAAATTTTAAGATCGGAAAACGTCGGAATATGTCGAAATATCGTCGGAGATTGTCGGAGATTATCGAGATTGAGTGATTGACCACCAAATAAAAATGCGAAGCAACTCTTTTTAACAATTTTAAAAAGTTTATAAAAAGTTCACAAACCTTCGAAGTTCATAAAGGACCTTTAACAGTTTTTTTACATGTTGAAAATTTAACTTGTACCGACTGGATGCCCCAGTTTATACCCACAAGATTATGATCTCCATACCAAACTTCTGGTGACTTTCTCAAGTGGTGTGACAAAAATGCCAGATTAATGAGGCCTGTACATTGAAATTTTAAAGTCAACAAGTGAATTGGACCCTCCTTGACGAATGCCCTTAGATCGAAACGTCGAGAAGTGTTTTTGTCTAATTTTGGCAGTTTTTACACGACATTTAATGGCAAGTTATTTAAAGACGCTGCCTTGCTGCTCCCTGGTTATATTGGAACGTATTGACAGAATTGGTCAATCACAATCATGTATGGTGTCGCAAACCATATGATTTCTTTACCTACACAAAATTTTTTTTATAAGGTCACGACAATACGTCATGAAAATCCGTGTCACACCTTTTGACCGTTTTATTTCCCGATTCAGACAAAGACTTAAGACTGTATATTCCGACATTCCTCTGGTCAAAATGGTTAAAAAATATATTGAATTAGCTTTCTCACGATGACGAAGTTACCACCATTTTCGAGTACTTTTTTTTAAACTTCTTTGCCGTAATAAAATTATGCATTCACTATAGGGAAAAATATACTTGTCCCGCGTGAAATTTGGCAAAGGAAATCAGCCATCGTGGACGGGGCTGAAGGGCATGTTGTAAAACCTGGACTGGACTGGACTTGTAAAACCTGGACTGGACTCATTTGTAAAACCTGGACTGGACTCATTTGTAAAACCTGGACTGGACTCATTTGTAAAACCTGGACTGGACTCATTTGTAAAACCTGGACTGGACTCATTTGTAAAACCTGGACTGGACTCATTTGTAAAACCTGGACTGGACTCATTTGTAAAACCTGGACTGGACTCATTTGTAAAACCTGGACTGGACTCATTTGTAAAACCTGGACTGGACTCATTTGTAAAACCTGGACTGGACTCATTTGTAAAACCTGGACTTCATCCTAAGACCCCCCCATTCTTAAGGATTTACTTCCGTATTCAAGAAAATCCTTAATGTTGCTGGTTTGTATGTAAGCTAGATATAAAGGTGGATATAGAAATATAGTAACACAATGATTTGAAAAAATAGCTGATGCAATAGAAAATTAAATTTAATAGGACAACACACAGTAAACTGTGTCGATCACAGTTTTTTCTATACAATTATATATTCTATGGCTATACTGCTATAATATCAACAATTTTTATATTTGTATTTTATAATATTTTATACTTTATAATGATCTTCTGCAAGTCAATAATTAATGTTGTTTATTAATTTATATCTCTTCGATAATTTTACCATTAAAAAGACATCTAAAAGTCAATTCAACTAGTATTGGCTCTTTTAGAGTCCATTTATGCTAGTGTATGAGTGTGATAATATAGAGTAATTTTTACAGTGCATGATTATATTGATAACTTCTCCACCACAAAAATTGTAAAATGTGATACAATTAAGTAAAATAGGCTTTATTAGAAATACACAGGGTGTAATTGTGCATAAAATACACAGGGTGTAATTGTGCATATATAGGGCTAAATAGAGATAATTGAATAAGGTAGAATATCACAAAAATAAACTAAACTACAACTGATTCTGTCAATTTTTAATTATGAGCCATATATAATGTGACAGAACATATTTTAGTCTATTTTACATATCTGAAAAGCCAACTAAAAGATTCCTTGACTAAAACATTTATCATCTTAAAACATCCCGTCCCGGCTAGACCGGAACATATAAACAGGCCCTTAATTAGTTGGCTTTTCAGATATGTACCATATGTTCTGTCACCTTAATACGGAAATAGTAAAGTTCGAAAATGTAAAGTAAAAGTTCGAAAATGCAAAACCAAAAATAATAAATCGTTGTCGCATCTGGGCCCGTACCTTAATATCTAGCTGGCTCACAAAAATTGACAGAACCAGTTGTAGTTTAGTTTGTTTTTATAGATAGTTAAGGAATGATTTAGTTGGCTTTTCAGATATGTAACATATGTTCTGTCACCTTATTATATATGGCTCATAATTAAAAATTGACAGAATCAGTTGTAGTTTAGTTTATTTTTGTGATATTCTACCTTATTCAATTATCTCTTATCAATTTAGCCCTATATATGCACAATTACACCCTGTGTATTTCTAATAAAGCCTATTTTACTTAATTGTATCAAATTTTACAATTTTTGTGGTGGAGAAGTTATCAATATAATCATGCACTGTAAAAATTACTCTATATTATCACACTCATACACTAGCATAAATGGACTCTAAAAGAGCCAATACTAGTTGAATTGACTTTTAGATGTCTTTTTAATGGTAAAATTATCGAAGAGATATAAATTAATAAACAACATTAATTATTGACTTGCAGAAGATCATTATAAAGTATAAAATATTATAAATACAATATAAAAATTGTTGATATTATAGCAGTATAGCCATAGGCAGCCCAGACTTTTACTTGCGCGTGTGATACTCGCGCGCGTGTCGCGCTTACGTTGTTTACTTCGTCTATATATTATGACAAGGTAGGAAAGAGTTTATCAAAATATTACAGATATACCTTCGTAAATGTATAATTATCTAAAAAATTACTTGAAGAAACGCCACAAAAACTACAACCTAATAATTACCGATGATTAAACTACATTATCCTGCAGTTTCCATGTTTTTAAACAACATCTAAAGCCTTCAAATTAGCGAAATAAAACAGGAATTCATACGGAATTTTGAGAAAACTATCCGAGGGTCACTCCGCCTAAGGAAACGTCATCTTTTTTGAGATATTAACTAAACGCTCATTGGCTTACCTGCAGAACCACCAATGAGAACCAATGAGCGTTTAGTTAATATCTCAAAAAAGATGACGTTTCCTTAGGCGGAGTGACCCTCGGATAGTTTTCTCAAAATTCCGTATGAATTCCTGTTTTATTTCGCTAATTTGAAGGCTTTAGATGTTGTTTAAAAACATGGAAACTGCAGGATAATGTAGTTTAATCATCGGTGATTATTAGGTTGTAGTTTTTGTGGCGTTTCTTCAAGTAATTTTTTAGATAATTATACATTTACGAAGGTATATCTGTAATATTTTGATAAACTCTTTCCTACCTTGTCATAATATATAGACGAAGTAAACAACGTAACCGCGACACGCGCGCGAGTATCACACGCGCAAGTCAAAGTCTGGGCTGCCTATGGTATATATAGACCAATTGCGAAACTTAGTAACCGCGCCTTCGTGCAACATGGAAACGAGGCTTTTTATGCAAAAAACAATATTTGTATTTTTTGCAGTACAAAGCTATTCGCCCAGTTATATGCCGTTTTTCGCCTTTGTTTTACATATTTTTCGATTCCTTTCAACTTGGTTTCATCGTTGTTATCATAGTTTTCAGGTTAGGAAGTTTTGCCTTTCAATTGAGGCGTTTTTGTGGTGTTTTCATTAATCTTTTCGTCTGCTTTCGTCGGGGAAATATAGAAAAGGCCGACACAAACTCAGGTAAAAGTTTAGTTTTTCCAAACTATTTCGTCTCAAGTTTTGAAAATGTATTTCATTTTTCTCCCTCTTATTTGTGCAAAATTTGGCGATATATATTTGGTGCAAAATCTATGTTTTTTATGTCAAAAATTATTGAAAAGTCACGATCGAACAAACCACCATGTTCACATTTCTCATCTAAAATCTTTTTATACCAATTTTATCGATCGATAAGATGTAATTTGACAGCAATTTTACAGCTCAGCAAAAAATAGTAGAAATCTGTTGACAAAAACTATAAAAGATAAAATAAGCAACGGAGTTTTATGTTTATTTTCCCTGTGTATATAGACTACAGTACATGTGATGTCGACTGAAAAACAAAACAACTCTGCAACTTTGCACACATGCATGACATGGATAGTAAAATACTTATAACCAAGACATAATATCATTGTCTATTTTGAATTGCCATTTGAATATTCCTTTTCCCGCAATAACATACTATAAAGGTAGCCACAATGCGAGCTGCAGCGTTTTTTAAGATACACCTTTACATGATGGCAAAGCCGAAAGCGAAAAATATTTAAACCGGAGTTCGCAAGTGTTTTTCCGTTTACGATGGGGAACGGAATCCTTTCCTTTTCAAGTATTCCTTGTTCACCCTTATCAAACATCTATTGCATGGTAGTAGATAGAAAGAATAATGTTTTGTACTAACAAAAATGCAGAATTCAGATGCAAACTCAGATGCATTCGAATTCGACTTTTATAAAATTCGGCCTTCAGGCCGGCATGCAAGCTATGCATCGTCTGTACTTTATTAAAACGAATATAAACAAAAACATTTCAGTCAGTTACTTTTGAACATTTTAACAGTATTTCTGTGGTATAAAGAAAAAAAATACAGTGATATTTGTGAAGAAATTTGGATAAATGAAGCCATTTCAGTCATCAGGTTTGAAAATTATATATCTGACTGTCACTTTTCAATAATTTTTGACATAAAAAACATAGATTTTGCACCAAATATATATCGCCAAATTTTGCACAAATAAGAGGGAGAAAAATGAAATACATTTTCAAAACTTGAGACGAAATAGTTTGGAAAAACTAAACTTTTACCTGAGTTTGTGTCGGCCTTTTCTATATTTCCCCGACGAAAGCAGACGAAAAGATTAATGAAAACACCACAAAAACGCCTCAATTGAAAGGCAAAACTTCCTAACCTGAAAACTATGATAACAACGATGAAACCAAGTTGAAAGGAATCGAAAAATATGTAAAACAAAGGCGAAAAACGGCATATAACTGGGCGAATAGCTTTGTACTGCAAAAAATACAAATATTGTTTTTTGCATAAAAAGCCTCGTTTCCATGTTGCACGAAGGCGCGGTTACTAAGTTTCGCAATTGGTCTATAGAAAAAACTGTGATCGACACAGTTTACTGTGTGTTGTCCTATTAAATTTAATTTTCTATTGCATCAGCTATTTTTTCAAATCATTGTGTTACTATATTTCTATATCCACCTTTATATCTAGCTTACATACAAAACCAGCAACATTAAGGATTTTCTTGAATACGGAAGTAAATCCTTAAGAATGGGGGGGGTCCTAGGATGAAGTCCAGGTTTTACAAATGAGTCCAGTCCAGGTTTTACAAATGAGTCCAGTCCAGGTTTTACAAATGAGTCCAGTCCAGGTTTTACAAGTCCAGTCCAGTCCAGGTTTTACAACATGCCGGGCTGAAGCTATAAAGAGTTGTCTTAACCCAGTGTCATTTTGCTACTCAAAGTTTGCTAAATGGACTAATTGTGACATAATTTTACACAAGCACTAATTATGTGTGATACAGTTTATTTTATAAGCCGAGTTAACACTTTCTTCTTTGATTTTGCAGAGGAATGTACTACGTTCGAAACACCAAGAAAATGAAGAAATCAGAAAGTCAATTCTCCGGCATGAACCCGAGCATTCAACTGCAGAACACCGCGAATTGACAAAGATTGATCTTAGTTTAATATGGCCTTTAATAAAAGCATGAACGAGAGTTGCCGAACGAACGGCATCATAAGAAGCTGTGCTGGTCAAATTGAAATATACATTTTGAAGTATTTCATCATCTCCTTAAACAACAATTACCTCTTATACGACTGAGTGATTTTGTTTAAGAATTCTTTTTTCTTGAGTGTGTGTTGTGCTTCTATATACAAACAGCTCTCTCGTCAACTCTCGTGCGATCACGCAATTACCCTTATATGACCATAGATATTAATATTTCACATAATTTATTCAAATTCTAGTTTCTATATATATATACCCTTTAGAATTTTGCACCTACCCAGGCACCTTACATAGAAATTCTTGTGAATTAAATTCATCTGATATGAAAACGCGGGTTATATCCAGGTGAAGGGTTTTATCCAAAGCGAAGGAACTAACATATAGTATGTATACAATACCAGTGTTTTTTGTGATGTAAACATGTCTTCACATTTAAAATATCCTGTCGTGACAATATTTATTACTTTTTCAGTTCACTATATTTCTAAATTAATAAGAGATAGCTTATGCTCAAAGAAATGCAAATTATATTAGCTTTGGTGGGCATTGCGGTGTATTTTGCGGGCTAAAATGATAAGTTTGCCGAGTTGAAATATATTTTATACCCGCTGATCTAAGCCAATCAGAAGAATGACTGAAGTGTCCACCCTTTCCTTTTACTTTTTATACAAAGATTGCCCTTTAAAGTTAATATAAAGTAATACAGTTGATGCTCTTGGGCATAAATGTGTTTTTGGCCCTCAGAAAAAGTTCAGAGTCGGCTATTGTTATAACATGCCAAATTTGGGCAATTTCTAAATCATGGGGTCCCCAATGTTATGCGCAGAACCGAAGCACAGAAGCCGCTGTAAACTAAAGAGATTTGAAACAGGGTGCTGGTTAAATAGCAAATAGCCCCTCAAGTGTCGCACAATGACAAATGTTATGATTTCTTTTCTGTTTATCTTACGAATTGTCTATACTTAATTTTTCACAATTAACGCAAATTATTTCGGCAACATGCTGCACTATATTCAGGTCCTGCAGTTACCCCGACTGTATTATGGTATCTGCATTTATTATTGGAAATTATATTATTCTGCGAGGTACATATATCAAGGATATTTTTATGTGATACTGGATTTTTTCGCTGGATGAAATTTTGTCTCCGAGTTAATTCTCGATCGAATTTTCGGACTTGTCAGGATGAAGAACTTTTGTCGACTTCACGCTGAATTTTCTAAACTGGTTAATTTTATGGAATTAGCAGATGCATCCACAGCAGAGAAAGCAAGCAAACAGAAGTTATTCTAATAAAGGTTGAAAATTCGAGGTCGAAGTCAATCCTGTGACTTCAGCTGCCTGCTGCCGTACAAGATTAAGGTCTGTTCACATGATACAAATTTGTCAGATCCTAATGATCTGCAGATTATACTATTAAGTTGAACTGGTCAGGACCAAACAAAGGGCCTGTTCATATGAGACGGGCCAGCCCGGCTCTGGCGAGATCCCACTGGTTCATATGAAAACATGAAGCGGGCCAGCAAAAGCGAGTCAGCCCGGCTTAACCGGACTGGCCCGTCTCATATGAACATGCCAAAAGTACATTCACATTAGAAAAAAACATGCTCCGGGTCATCTCTGGACTTGGTCTAGGCAACCTTCTGTGTGTGGGCTTCATTTTTGGCCTATACCAGACTCGACTCGGATAACAACGTTCACACCTAGACCTGGTCAAGGCCACCTTCTGTGGGCCTGGATTTTGTGGCCTATACCAGGTCAAATAAATAACGTTTACACCTATAGGCTTAAGCCTGGCCATAGGCTTTAGTGTAAACGTGGCTATAGGCATAGCCAATATAGAAACCTCAACCGAAGTTAGAAGCCCAACAGTTTTGTATTCAGTTCAACAATTTTGATTAGCCATCCCGAAGTCGAAGCAGTGGACTGGTGATAATGAGGTCCGAGAGAAAATTACTGAGACTGTCCGAGAGAAAATTACTACCTCGTACTACACGTATATGTGTGCAAGAAACGGAATATAAATTTACAAGAACATGCGATGTTGTTGCATCGTCAGATAACACAACCTGAATGGAAATGTCTCATAGTCAAGTCAAGTATCCCTTCACAGATCATTCATATATGTCTTTTGTTTACATCACACGTTTGTTCCACGTCGTCGTCTTCTTCAGATTTAAAATATTCTTGAAATTCCTGGCGGATAGCAGCAAGCGATGGCAGGTCATCGCAACTTGGAATATTTAAAAACATATCAAACAGCTTGTTCCACAAAACTCTGTTCCAGGTCCTGGAATTTAAAAATAAACGATCATTTATTGTAGTTTTCTCAACCACCAATTTTACGAAATATAGAAAAATTTGGGATACGATTTCGTGAAACTGTGTAATAACCTCAGTAGCATTATTTCAGCATGTTTTATTTCAAATTGCACTCCACTCAGTGCAATTACCATTATTTATTGGTCGCTGACAATGGATAGTAGAATATCGCCGACGAATTACGACATATATGAAACCCAACCTCGAAGCCTGGTCCTCATAGGTAAGAATGGCATATTTTATAATTAATGTTCTGCAGCTACTTCAACGTATTTTAGAACAATACGACGACTTGATTTTGAATAAATTATATAGCGTTTTTACGACACCATGTAATTTATAAGGAACTAAAATCCTTGTGAAATTTGTGAAACAAAGTTTATTTTTAATACAGAGCGAACATTGCATGGTTAAGCTTGGCACAAATTCTAAAACATTAAAACCAACCTGTTAAAGGATTTCGTAGTCTTCCAACGACCAGTCGTCGTTTCTTGGTAAACCTTCATGTAATCACCAAATATCAGACAATGTAAACTGCATAGCATGCCGTAAGTGTCCACCTATATATTGGAAAATAATTACAGACGTGAGAAATCTTGGTGACCATGCAGAGAATGAGTGACTGATAAGAGCATGATCGTCAAAGCATGATAAAGAAATGAAGATTTGCATGGCAAGTGGAAGTTCATGACGAAAATTGTATATTTCATCAAACTTTAATTATAGGATAAATGTCTGTTCACACGATCCAACTTTGTCGGATCCAATTCAATTCTGACATATGGAATGTAGTTTGTTATTGATAAAGTGTTACGCAAGACTTTATTGTGTTTAGAGATGCATATAAAAATAGCTGTAAAAATAGGAATATCAAGAGCATGACAGGGATTAGTGATTAATTTTTGCCACAAGACGCCTGAGTAAATATAATTTCGGCCCATTCGCAACCATTAATCGCCTTTCCCTTTCATGTATGACATATCGTGGGATTAAATAAGTAATAAGAGGAAAATATTTATAATCCTCTCAGAACTAATACCTGGATAAACAGTCTTAAGTCGTCACTTATCTAAATGGTCGCATTCTTTAAAAAAGTGTGCGTGCTGTAGGCCATTCAAGTTCATATGTCAATCAATTGTGTTAAAAAATGTTGCTCGGTCAAGTATGTAATAGATTACGTCATCAAAAGTTCAGTTCGATAAAATAAGAGTGAAAATAGATTAAGTTAAAAGATATTGTTCACAGACGTATTGTTGGTATATTTTACTAGTTGTTGATGATAAACATTTTAAGTTGTGAACATTTTTAAGTATTGATCGATTGAGCAGAAGACCAACTCGACTAGTGCGACAACGCCTTAAATAAACAAGATATGAGAGCTGGAACGAGCTTCTAAGACCAACCCACTGGTTACATGTACAACGCTGATTGGCTGGATAAGGATCAGCCCACTATGGTTGATGACGTATGCAAGAGTCACTGAACCCTCATTATAAAAGGGCGTGCACAGCACCTGAACCTTCAGTAGACTAGCGGAGTGGACTGACGGAGTAAAGATTAACTTATGAAACGTTAGGAAGCTCAACGACAGAACTGACGAAGAAGACAAGAACAGAAAACAACGAGATCCGAAAGGACGAATAATCAGAAGAGAAGACAAGAACAATTTAAACGACGATCAAGATCAAAATTTGAAGAAGAGAACAGTAACGAACTTTAGTTGAATTATTGTAACGATCCACTACCTCGCGTAGAAATAAAAAACTTTCTAACAATTTGGTGGAGGATCGGCGTTTTCACAAACTCAATTAGTCCGCCAAATATTCAGAAGAATTTAGAACAATCGTCATTTCGAACATTGGTTAGAAACGAGTGCTTAAACAGCGAGATGACTTGGCCGAACGAAACGCTATTCTTCTATTCATCAATACTTCTACTGACGGCAATGCTAGAGCTTGTCTCATATTTTAGTTGCTGGCCTAAAACAAATGGTCACAACCCAGTGTACAGCTCCTTTGAACAAGGATTGGAAACATGGTCCACCTCTCATCAGTCGAAAGCAGACGAATACGACCGTGCCTACCCGCTCCTTAATGTTATGAATCAGGCTGATATCCAGCGAAAGACGCACCAGTGGAAGCCTCCGTGGTTATGCAACGGCTACTGAGACGCGGCAGAAAAATCTCAGAGTTCCCCGGATCCTTCCTGATGGTTAGAACGCTTGTACATGGACATGAAATTGGACGAATTTTAAGATTTGTATAATATATATCAGCTTTTGTTATTGTCATGTTACACGTATATGTTTGTAATTTGTCTGTTTATGTTCCATAATATCAAACACGAGAGTATAGCTGTTCAACTAAAATTTCTTAGGTATACTCAGCATGCTGATTAAACATGTTGCCGTAGGATAGCGCATGCATGTTTTTAATTGGGTCAGTATACAAATTTAATTCTGACGCCTCTATTTGTGCGTCATTCGTCGATCATACATTTTTCTCTTCCCCCGGGACAGTCAAGGGTCTCCCAAACTTGTTGTAATGGATTATAATTCTTTTTCAAGCCAAAAGCTTAAATATTAGACAAATTCTTGTTTTCTCTATGTAGACTCGGTATTAATATTGTCGATGAAAACCTACATTTTGGAGTTTGGTTTGCTATCCATGACGTTTAAAATAAAATGAGTTTCAGTAATATTAAGAAGTATACGTATAAAATTTGTTTGCATAAGTTGAAATATTTTGAAGAATTATTAAGACGTATATATAGGTTTAGGTTATTATTATGGAGAGATGTTTTGTCGGAAGAGCTTTATAATAATTTCCTGTTATGTGAGTTGATCAACCAAGAATCTGAATACAATTTTCGCTGTTGCAATGATAAGATATTTTATGAAATTCGAATAATTTCGGGTACACTTTCTGACTGCATCTACAAAATTTATAATTTCGCTTAAGTCCCTGGTACATACATTCAGGAAAACAGGAAATTTTTACCCCTTGTTTTCACACTAGTTTTGGTTTAATATTGCTATATTCTGACGTGTTTTTTATATAATTATATGACATTATCATAGTTAGATTACCCCTGAGGTGCATGTAGGCATAAGTCAATTATATTTAGATCAGTTGTATCTCGTATAATCAATTATGTAGTGTTGTCGTAGAATAACAACACGTACTATGTATGTCTCAGTTATTAGGCATTTGGTAATATGCCCGTGATAGCCACGCCGAGCTCAAAAATAGTGCAAATTTGTAGACATATATAAGTTCGTTATAGCTCACACGAAGCTGGGGACAGCTTATTCTAGGTGAGGAGGATTGTTACGCAAGGCTTTATTGTGTTTAGAGATGCATATAAAAATAGCTGTAAAAATAGGAATATCAAGAGCATGACAGGGATTAGTGATTAATTTTTGCCACAAGACGCCCGAGTAAATATAATTTCGGCCCATTCGCAACCATTAATCGCCTTTCCCTTTCATGTATGACATATCGTGGGATTAAATAAGTAATAAGGGAAAATATTTATAATCCTCTCAGAATAATACCTGGATAAACATCTAAGTCGTCACTTATCTTAATGGTCGCATTCTTTAAAAAAGTGTGCGTGCTGTAGGCCATTCAAGTTCATATGTCAATCAATTGTGTTAAAAATGTTGCTCGGTCAAGCATGTAATAGATTACGTCATCAAAGTTCAATTCGATAAAATAAGAGTGAAAATAGTTTAAGTTAAAAGATATTGTTCACAGACGTATTGTTGGTATATTTTACTAGTTGTTGATGATGAAATTTTAAGTTGTGAACATTTTTAAGTATTGATCGATTGAGCAGAAGACCAACTCGACTAGTGCGACAACGCCTTAAATAAACAAGATATGAGAGCTGGAACGAGCTTCTAAGACCAACCCACTGGTTACATGTACAACGCTGATTGGCTGGATAAGGATCAGCCCACTATGGTTGATGACGTATGCAAGAGTCACTGAACCCTCATTATAAAAGGGCGTGCACAGCACCTGAACCTTCAGTAGACTAGCGGAGTGGACTGACGGAGTAAAGATTAACTTATGAAACGTTAGGAAGCTCAACGACAGAACTGACGAAGAAGACAAGAACAGAAAACAACGAGATCCGAAAGGACGAATAATCAGAAGAGAAGAGAAGAACGGAGAAAGAAGAGAACATTAGCGAACTTTAGTTAAAACTATTGTAAAGATCTCGTACCTCGCGTATCAATTAAAGAATCTTATAACAAAAGCAAACGTACTGCATTGACTTTAGTTGACTTGCTGCCCATATAGGCATAAAATATCCATCAGGGACCGGTTGTATGAAAGTCGAATAGCGCTATCCACCGGATACTGATTTTTTCAACCGTTCTAAAAATGCTCGAAAAGCGATAAAATTTCATTTTTGAAATAGACAATTTTTAAAGAGGATCCTCGATTTAGGAACACTAAGATTTAATCAAAGTTATAGCAAACAACAGGCGATTTTAAAGAGATTGAAAAAAACACACTATATATAGTGCTATATCCGTCTTTCATACAACCGACCCCAGATTTGGTTCCGACAAAATTGGATCGTGTGAACATGCCTTAACGGGGATAGCTCGCGAACTTTGCAGCCCCCAGGCCAGTTTGTGTCGCTATTTTTTCTTGCATAAACACACCTGAGTTGTCCAAGGTCTTTGAGTTCTCATTTCAATGCATTCGAATGACTCAGTATTTTTGCCAACACTGAAACGCGTACCCGGGGGAATAGCTCCAGATCAATGGCACATCCAAAATCGATCAATCCAAGTCGGCATAATTCTTCATCGCTGCCACTAAAACATCAAGATTTCGTCAAGCTTATGGAAAAAAGGTAACTATTCTTTAAAAGATAACATGCAATGTCAAAATTTCCCGGATTACATGCGCTGTCAAAATTTCCCGGATTACATGCAATGCAAAAATTTCCCGGATTACATGTCAAAATTTCCCGGATTACATGCAATGCCAAATTTCCCGGATTACATGCGCTGTCAAAATTTCCCGGATTACATGCAATGCCAAAATTTCCCGGATTACATGCAATATCAAAATTTCCCGGATTACATGCAATGTCAAAATTTGTGTGAAATTCTTGAAAGATAGGTTTTAAAGGTTTTGCTAGAAATTTTTCGAAACAATAATCTTATCTGGCAACTTAGCATTAATCATTGCAAAAATTTCGACAGTGTTAATCTTATATATAAGACTATTTTCCACTATAGACAGAAATTTGCGCGCGGTTTTTCAAATTAGGCATTCTGATTGGCTTAGCCTGAAAAATGTAAACAAATGGGCCAATTAATTTAAAACGAAATCCCAATTATAGGTTATATAAAAGAATGTTCGTACACATTGTCTTCGAGAACAACGAAATTATCTGGTTTGACATCACCATGAATAATGCCACAGTCGTGAATGTTTTCCAGGATCCTCATCATTCCAATTGCACAGAAAAACGCGGTTCTTTCGGTTATACTTTGTTCCACCTTGCATTCGTTGACGAAATCCTGCAAAAAAATATGAGAAAAAATTTAAATTATACCAGCGCCGCGAAGCGGCGCGCCCGTATAATTATGATTATCCGAGCACTCGAAGGGAGAAATGTATGGAATACAATTGGTATGACGGAGTCATTCCGTGTCGGAGCCACACATAAAAAGCACTGGGGCTGAAGAAAAAAGTGCGGGAAGAAGGCCCCTTGCATAAAGTAGGCCCCCCCGCATAACCCTTCGACTTGTATCAGAGCAATAATGAGAAACGCGACAACATGAATAAGTATAGTAATAGTTGTTCGCAAATCCTGTAAATGTACGTCTATTATTTACCAGGGTGGGTAAAGGTACGATTGGGTCGGGTTCCATACATTTCTCCCTTCGAGTGCTCGTATAATCATAATTTGGTATAATTTAAATTATACTTCACACTCTCCGGTCGAAATGTATGGAATACAATTGGTAGATTGTAAAGCAGACGAACAACAATTCTATAAGACCAAAAACACCTTATTTATTTATACTCGAGGAAGTGGATAACACTGTTGTCCCAAACGCAATAGGAAGAGATGGTCTATAATAGAATTTATTAAATGTTGTCGTGTTCGTCCAGTCGGCCATCGACAATATTGTAGCGATATCCAGGCCGGCTTGCTTTGCTGCTGATGTCGATGCGCCTCGTACCGAGTGTCCTTTAAATATGTTCTCTGCAATCCCTGCGTGATAAAGGACATCTTTGAGCCAACGTGAGAGAGTAGCCGATGTAACGGCTTATGTGGTTTCTTGAGCCCTAGAAATAGCAAATCCTGTGTATTGTCCGATGAGGGGCGCCATGCTTTAGTTCTCTCGAGGTAATGTGATAAACATTGAACAGGACAAAGCTGAGATTCTTGGTCGAAAGCCGGATAAACTGACTCTCCCAGAGGGCCTTTGTGGGATCGTTTACGATATGTTGTGTGTAGAAACTTAGTCCCTTCAGGATATTTACGCATATATCTTACATCTAAGGAAGCCATTATGGAACTTCTTTCTGGACATGTTAATGCCATTAACATACATAACTTCTGTGATAGTAGTTTCAATGTTAAGGACACGTTCTCGCCAAGACCTTTTAAATAGGTGGTCACTTTTTGTACATCCCAGGTGTGTTGATAACGGGGTTGTGGTGGTCTGGAAATTGAGATGCCTTTCATTAATCTAATCACCAATGGATGTTGACCCACTGGTTTATTATCTATGTAGACATGTGCCGAAGATATTGCTGACCGGAGAACATTGATTGTTCTGTATTGTTTGCCTTTAGAATATTGTTCCGCTAAGAAGGTTAGAATGTCCTCTACTGGACAAAGTAGGGGATTACTTTGCCGTTCACCACACCAGCGACTCCACTGAGTCCACGAACAGTTGTAAGATTTGGTGGTTGAGGCCTTGACGCTATTTGCGAGGAGCTCAACAGCCGTGCTTGAAAGGCCTGTTGCAGTGAATTGTTCCCTGATATTCGCCATACGGCTAGTTTGAGTACAGGGAAGAGAGGATGAGTTCTTCCTGGATTGGTCACGTCGGTCAGTAGTCCCGGATCGTTTCCCAGATAGATCGGGTACTCGATTAGCATCCCAATTAACAGGGGCCACCATGGTTGAGCTGACCACAGGGGCGCTACAAGGGTTAGAGTTGCCTTGTCCGTTTTTGCCTTGTGTAAACTGCATTCATAGATTGAATGGGGGGAAGGCGTAAGCGTTGAGGTTGGCCCAATTCATTGTGAAAGCGTCGGTATGGACTGCTTGGGGGTCGGGTCTCCAACTGACAAATTGGTCCAGTTGATGAGACAGACGTGATGCAAATAGGTCTAACTGGCACCCCCTGATCAATGGCTTGATTACCGTTGTCTTCAGTTTCCAGTCGTTCAGATCTCGTGTAGTCCGAGATTCCATGTCCGCGACTGTGTTCAATTTGCCTGGGATATGTTGTGCAGTAAGAAATATGCGTTTCTTCTCGCACCATTTCCAAATCTCCAAGGTCAGTTGTAGCAGACGAGGGCAATGAGTGCCCCCCATATTGTTTAGATACGCTACTGCTGTAGTGTTGTCCAACTTTAGGCAAATTACCTTGTTCGTGTCGTTTTTCAGAAAGGATTTTAGAGCAAAAAAGGCTGCTTTCAGTTCTAAGATGTTTATATGGTCCTGGGTTTCCACCTGTGACCACCTTCCCCCTGTTCTTAGCGCTCCGAAGGAAGCGCCCCAGCCCATCGTCGATGCGTCTGACGTTATCGTAACATCTGCCGTGGGCGGAAGAATGCGACTTCCTTTCAACAAGTGAAGATTTTCTATCCACCATAACAAGTCGGCCTTTGCCGCATGAGTCAAGCGTAACTGCAGGTCGTAATTTTGTGTCTGTCTTAGCGCGCTGATCTGAAGATTTTGAAGCTGCCGATAATGCAGGGGAGCTGACCAGACTGCTGGTCGACAGAATTCTAGAAGGCCTAGTACCCTGGAAATATGTCGAATAGTTGGATGTTGTTCGTTGACAAGCTGTTGGCATTCCTTGCGAATTGCCTGTATCTTGGCTTCGGGCAGAATGAAAAACATTTGTACAGAGTCGATCAGAAGACCGAGAAACTGAATCTTTTGGGTTGGGATTAACATCGATTTGTCGTAATTTATTAGGAATCCTAGAGACTTTAGAAGTTGAATCGTTATTTGTTTGTGTTGATTGAGGGCAGCTACAGAAGGAGCCATTAACAGAATATCGTCCAAGTAAATTATCAGACGAATATTCTGACCTCGTAGCCAAGCCACTACTGGTTTCAGTAATTTTGTAAAGACTCTTGGAGCTACATTCAGGCCGAATGGCATTGCCTGGAACTGGTAGGACTCGTTTCTCCATATGAAGCGAAGGAATCTTTGTGATTCCTGATGAATAGGAACCGTCAGATAGGCGTCTGTCAAATCGATATTTATCATGTAATCGCCCGGGTAAAGAAGGGATTTTAACGTGGAGAGATTTTCCATTTTGAAATGAGTTGTTTCGATAAAAGCATTTAGTGGACTTAGGTCCAGAACTGGGCGGTAACCCCCGTTTTTCTTTTGAACTAAAAATAGACGATGATAAAAGGCGTGCTTGTCGAACGGCACTCGAGTTATCGCATTTTTGTTTAGTAAACATTGTACCTCTTGGTCTACTAGACAAGGGTTTAGAGTTCCCGAGCAAGGGATTTTTAACTGAAACGGTTGAGTTTGAAACACAATTTTGTAGCCTAAAACGATGGCTAAAATACTTGGATCTAACGTTACTTTCTGCCAATTGGCATAAAAAAACGGAGGCGTCCCGTCAGTGGGACGTGTTGTTGACGTTGTTGCCGCGAAATGGCTGTTGTCGATTTCCTTGCTGGCGAAATCTGCCTCTCGCTGATCCGCGAGAATATCTGCTCACCCCGAACGAAGGTTGACGAAATTTTTCGTTTTTCAAATACTTCTGAGAGGTATTAACGCTTGCAGAACTCTGAGATTGTATCGACGCTTGGCGTATAGCGAGATTCTTTTGCAAGTTTCTCGAAATATCCGCGCTATCGGCGGCAAGCTTATTTATGTCATTCCCAAATAATGAAGTACCCGCATTGGGAAAAGACGCTTCCGCCAGGGAGACCCTACGCGGGTTTATAGCGTATAAAATTTTCGAGCGGCGTAGGACGGATACCGAATTTGACGCGTTGCCCAAAAGGCAAAGAGATTTTTCAATCATGTTCAAAATATCGTCATTAGATACTGATTGTTTGCTTTCAAGCATATCGTGCAGGACTGCCAAGGGGGCTGCAGCATTCAAAACATGACGCTGAACTTTGGACAATTCCTTGTCACGATTTTCAGCAGTCTTTTTATAGTTTGCAGAAATCTGATCTGCTAATGACTTGTCTAATTTTGGTGTTATAAATACCTCCATGTCCGGAAGTGCAGTTTCTTCAAGAATTGTGAAAATTTGTGAGGATGACAAACTACGACGAAAGTTTGTGTTTAAAAATTCCTTAAAGGTTTCAGTGGGTGCCCAACTAGGCGAATCCGCGGTTGGATTAAACAGTTGACCTCTTTCTGTGTTGTTGTGATGAGGCGGGCTTTTCCCGCCAATTTTATGAGGCGACATAGTCGCTTCTTCGTTGTTGATTGCATTTATATGCATAGGGTTGAGCGATTTGCTCGTTGTGGGGCCATCTTTGTGGCCATTCGGGTCGTCCAGATTGACTGGACTTGTGGTGCCCAAAGCTTGATCTGCTGGGGCTAACACAGATATATTATCTGCACAATCTGAGACTTCGTTTTCGGAAGGATGTAAACAACCCACAGAGTTGTCCTGTTCGGGCATGTTGTCGACCTTCGAAAAGTCCATTCGGTTCTCTTGATTGGTCTCCAAAACGACCAAGCGATCGTCTAAATGCCCCAAAGTGGAGGAAATTTGTGTTATCTTGTCTAAGATTTCATTTAGAACCGGTGAACCATTATGATCCCGACTGTCGCTCGCGCGTGATTTCTTCGAGCGGTGGCGTGATTTTGAGCGAGAATTTGAGGCTTCAGGACTTCGAGACCGAGACCTTTTTGACGAGCTCATCGTTAACCTATCAAAAATTACACGATACACCCACCAAGGTAGAAAAAAGTAACAAACCTGTTACTAAAAAACGCTTTTACTTACCTTGGCTAAAAAAAAAAGGACTGTGTGACTCCGACCACGAAAGAAAAAAGTCGAAGGGGTATGCGGGGGGGCCTACTTTATGCAAGGGGCCTCTTTCCCGCACTTTTTTTCTTCAGCCCCAGTGCTTTTTATGTGTGGCTCCGACACGGAATGACTCCGTCATACCAATTGTATTCCATACATTTCGACCGGAGAGTGTGAAGTATAATCCAGAATCACGTGTGAGAATAAAATATCCTAATATGTATTTGCAGGAAAGACAGGAGAATCTATGTTCCAATACTTTCCAAATGAGGTGCAAAATCAACGCCGTTTAAATATTTGATATTTCAAAAATATAACATATTACGAAATGTCGTATCTCTTCCAAACGTTGGATTCCGACAAACGTGAAGTTCCATGATTTTGAAAAAATCGCCTGGTTCGTAAATCAGAGTACCAATTATATTAATACATCTGAGTCATACACACAATTACTATAAGCCATTATACATTTAGCCCTTTTCCATTTTTTTAATAAGATTGTAATTGTAATGGTTTATTGACATAATTATATTATATTTTAGCATTTTGCAACTAACTGAGATAAAAATTAGCCAGTTCCCAATTGAGCAGGGTCGTGAACCGCAAAATATCTATGGACAGTTTGGAGGGACCAGTACCCTGCTCGATTGCGAAATGGCTAATTAAATGCTAGTTTGGAAAACCCTAAAACTGGTGTTGTACATGTCTCACCTGTACAATTAAAGCCCTCTCCAGTATACCCAGAATCACATGTGCAGGTGTAAGATCCATCTGTGTTATTACACGTAGCATTGGAATGACATGGAGAATCTGTTTGGCATTCGTTGATATCTAATATAAAATAGTCTCATTTATTTATAATGTTGTCGATAGAGTACTCGTCGTGAATTTATAAATCACCCGCGGAGTGAAAATAAAATGCATGACCAGAGATTAGATAGAATATGGCGCGAGGCATGAAAGGTGTATCTACTAGCAATGGAAACAGCGGGCGAAAAACGTATTCAAGTTAGACCTAGGTTATACGTCGCATTTTAGTCGCGTCGAATCCAAACAATAGATAATGAGATGACACAACTCATTAAGCCTCATTATCACAGGACCTTGTTTATTCCTTAGTAATCTGGCAAGCCCGGTCATAGACATTATTGTGGTTATTTTTATGTTTTTGTGTTATCTGCGAAAACAATACCTAATTTCAAATCTGCATTAATTGTGAAAGCGAGTTGCCTCGCTGGCTACACCGCTACGCTTCAAAAGATTAGCATTTAACATTTTTTATCTCTTCTGATTATAATTATCTGATTTGATATGAGTAATATCCTGGGAAATTACCTTTTTCTTAATTAAGCCAAATGTAGCAGTAAACTAATGAAATATTAGATGAAATATACTAGAGGTTAAACGAATCATCTTCGAGAATTCTATATTTTTGCTCAATTTTAAGATATAATTAAATTGCATATGTATAGTCATACCACTGCTGTTAAATTCAACATTAATAATCCAGATAAATTATATAGATCTATTCGTGTTACCACACGAAGCACGCGAGTGGCATGGGAATTTTTTTTTATTTTCACTATATCCAGAATCACACGGGCAAATGAAAGATTCGTGTGCATGTGTTATTGCACGCCGCGTTAGGATGACACCATTTTGCTTGCTATTTGTTTACATCTCGTACTGCAGTTCCAGCAATTGCATTTTATTATTTCCACTATTCAGTCTGAAAAACGTCCTACAAAAATTATGATTTTACTTCGTCTTACCTGTGCAGTTAAAGCCGTTGCCACTATATCCAGAATAACATGTGCAGATATAAGACCCATCGGTGTTTTTGCACGTAGCATTGAAATGACATGGGGGAGATGTTTGGCATTCTTCAACATCTAAAATATCCATTCGAGTATACATACTTATATTTTCATCGGTTTCTTTCAAAACTTTCAGTAAATTAAGTTAACTACGTTCCTACCTGTGCAGTTAAATCCGTCTCCACTATATCCAGAATCACATCTGCAGATATAAGACCCATCTGTGTTAATGCAGGTTGCGTCAGAGTGACAAGGAAAAGATATTTGGCATTCGTTAATATCTGAAAAGGTAGTTTGGACAAACGTTTTTAAATTTCACTGGTCCTTCCGAAACATATTATAGGATATTAAATTGTTTACGCTGTTTACCTGTGCAATTAAATCCATCTCCAGTATATCCAGAATCACATGTGCAAATATTAGATCCATCTGTGTTATTGCACGTAGCATTGGAATGACATGGGGGAGATGTTAGGCATTCGTCAACATCTAAATGGTAGATTTGGCAATTTACACTTTTTATTTATTGTTTTACTTTCAAATACCTGGTAAAAAACCAATTCCGTTCTCTTACCTGTGCAGTTAAATCCATCTCCAGTATATCCAAAATCACATGTGCAAATATAAGATCCATCTGTGTTATTGCACGTAGCATTGGAATGACATGGTGGAGATGTTAGGCATTCGTCAACATCTGAAAAATTCGTTCCAGTAAACATGCTTTTATATTTAACTAGTTTCTTAAAAAAATATTCAGTAAATTGAATTAATTACGTTGTCGTACCTGTGCAGTTAATGCCATCACCACTATATCCAGAATTACATGTGCAGATATAAGACCCATCTGTGTTACGGCACGTAGAATTGGAATGACATGGCCAAATAAGGGAGGATCCTTGGCATTCGTCGATATCTGACGTGGCAATTTTAGAAAGATTATTTTCCATTTACGTTCTTCTCAAAGACTTCATAAAATTAATTTTTACGTTGCCCTACCTGTGCAGTTAAATCCATCTCCAGTATATTCAGAATCACAGGTGCAGATATAAGATCCATCTGTGTTATTGCACGTAGCATTGGTATAGCATGGAAAATCAGTTTGGCATTCGTTTATATCTGAAATGATATTTCTATTTACCAATTTCTTCTCAAAGATCTGGTAAAAATATTATTTCTGTAGCCTAACCTGTGCAGTTAAATCCGTCTCCAGAATACCCAGAATTACATGTGCAAATATAAGATCCATCTGTGTTATTACACGTAGCATTGGAATGACATGAGGGAGATTGGCATTCGTCAATTTCTGAAACAGCAGTCAATTTTCTATTATTTGTTTGCATATTATTTGCAGTCATTGGCAAATAATGCAATTTTATTGGCTAAGGCGGTCCGATTGATGCTCAAATCTTGGGAGTCGTTATTACAGTGTTGCCGATAGGGAATAAAAATCGCTATTTATTCATTAATAAAATTTGTTGAATTCAATTCTGTTATTTTATCAGGGGGGTGTTTACTCATGCCAAACGGATTTTATTCTAAGCGGTATTGCACTTACAAAAGAAATCAGTCGAGCGAAACTGAACATATGAATAAGCACTCCCTCCCTAAATATCGTTCTAGTTACGCCAATGAATTCAACCGAGGCGTTGACAATTCCTAATATCACGTGAAAACCGAATTCAATACCTTATTTTATTATTCAACTCAACTAACTAAAATAGTGATCAAAGAGTGGTGATAAATATTTTATTTCATTATTATTATTATTGATTTCTTCAAAACGTGGCGTCAACAATTGCAGAAACTATTATTTGCAAATATGACGACACAATTACAGAATACAAGGAATTAGTTGTAAATTTCACGTAATAATTACAGACACAAGGAATTAGTAGTTTGCTACCAAAGCAGGCTGCTAAACAATTAAAACGGAGATTGTATAATTATGTAGTAATGAATAATAATTCCTGTATTTGTAATTATGATGCAAAATTTACAAATTCTTGTCGTCAATAATATTGCGACGTCTATATTTACAAATAATAGTTCAGTTTCAAAAATATTATTTTTGATTCTGGCAAAAGCTGGTTTTGAAAAATACAATAGTAATAAAAGTTATTAAATAAAACAAGACTCCTGTTCTGGCGTTAACTCCGGCGCACGTGCCAGTCTTTAATATAGAGCTTCTGAACATAAACAATACCATTCATATTCGCATTTAGATGCATTGCGAACCTAAATGTTCGATCGCGAAACTCAGAAGCACATCGTATCTTAAATAGTTATTATCATCGTATATTAAATAGTTATCAAATAAAACAAGACTCCTGTTCTGGCGTTAACTCCGGCGCACGTGCCAGTCTTTAATATATGGAGCTTTTGAACATAAACAATACCGTTCATATTCGCATTTAGATGCCTTGCGAACCCAAATGTTCGATCGCGAAATTCAGAAGCACAATCTTCAATCCTGTGCAAACTACGACGTGTCAACGCGCCCATAATATAAGATCCATCTGTGTTACCGCGTACGTAGCATTGGAATGACATGGAGGAGATGTTTGGCATTCGTCAACATCTGAAGTGGCAGTTGTAGCATTTTTATTTTTTCATTCCGCAAGGCTTAGTTTACATGTGTCCTCCTCTATAGTCACGCAATGATCGGGGCAATGATCTCTATTCGCGCAATGATCAGGGGCCGGTTGTTCAAATAGCGTTTTGCTTAAACGGTTGATAAGTTCAAAATGGAAACAAAATTATCAGTATTAATTTTATTGAACAACTGTGCTGAAATATTTCGATGTATAAAAGTTTAATTTTTAATGTAAGAACAAATTTAATGCATAGGATTCAGTCTCAGTCATTCACAAGACGTATAAGAGTGTTTTTAAACTTTGGTTTATATCCACCGTTTGAGCTAAACGCCTTTCGAACAACCGGCCCCAGCACGTGAGTGATCCCGCATTTGTCAAAATTTCATCATAACAATTTTGAATTAAAAATACCTGAATATAATATAGATGATATTTCATAGTTACAGATTTGCAGAGAACATTAATTTTTTACAACCCACCAGATGTGATTCTTTTGGATTTTCAGATTTAATGGCAATGCCGGCGGTTGTTCCGGCGACTAATCAATTCAATAACACTGGTTTTAAAAGTATTTTTTCGGTAAAATAAAATTAAACTTTCTTACCTGTGCAATTTGTTCCATTTCCTTCATACCCTACTCGGCATTCGCATGCGAATGAACCTTGTGTGTTTGTACAGTTGGCGTTGGCACCACAAGGCGATTGCATGCATTCATTGATATCTGCAACAGTTGAGGTAATTTTTGGGTAAAGCATCAATTAATTTAGTGTATTTTTCGTTTAACTCGGAAATACCCGGAATGGGAAATTCCCAAATGTGTAACTTACAATAATTTATTTTTGTTTTAATTCCTATAAAAATTGATCTGAAAATACGCCAATTGCAAAAATGCAAATTATCAACCCTTGCCTGTGCAATTTGATCCATTTGCTTTATACCCAGCTGGACAATCACAAACGTATACGACGTTATCTGTATCTGAAAAATGTTCGCTTCTTGAAATTACGACAACAAAACTTTGTATTAGCTAGATCCCTGATATCTGGGAGTATTGCAGCGTTTGATTTGTTTAAAATAATAATAATCCAGAATTATACTAAAGCAACAACCACAACAACTTTACACCCTGAAGTTCTGAATCATTCTGAATTATCTATTATTAATGTTGAAGCATGGGAAAATGAACAAATTCTTTCTGACCATGGCCATAGCATGCATATAGTTTAATGCAAACTATGACAACACGCTGATTCTCTTTTCAATTCTGACGGGTGAAGGGAATCTGCTATGGTCGAATTCTTACAATTGAAAAGAATATCAGACGGAAAATATTTTTCGGTTTAAAAATTCCGCCTAGTGGAAAACCGTTAACTCTTAATTGTATTTTGCGTCTGTAACTTTTCGACAGTGTGACGCCATCTAACGCAAGCCAAATACGCAAGAATTCCTGGGGTGAGCATCAACTTTTTGATGGGGGTAGAAAGATTAGCGTAAAATGACGTTTACCCTTTTGAAAAAATTCAGACACAACAACATTAACAAAATCTAAAGAATGAGATTTCGCTTTAACGTCTATTGGCTATGATAGAGTAAAATCATGTTCGAATAAACTTGCTTATCACTATAATAATCAATCTGGCAAACCGCCTTTGTGTAACCACATACAATTTATGTTACATTAAGCTTAAAAAAGCAAAGAATAACAGAACGATTACAACCTCCTCGACTTTTACCTTACTCCAGGAGATGCGGTAATTAATTATTTTATCTCTGTTAATCATTTCAATATTCCTGCAAATACACTATGAAAAATTTCGGCTCCGCCCATACCTGGCGTGCTTCCACTGGCACTACCACTTCCAGTTCCATTGGTATTTCCACTTCCATTGGAACTTCCACTTTGTGAGGCCTCCACAGTCTCCTTTCTCACGCAGAGTTTTGTCACCGGTTGTTCACGAAGTGCAAACAACTGATCACTTGATTCGTCCTCTTGATTTACATCTAATTAAAAAAATTGTGGCAATCTCACTTCGATCTCTTTTTTAAAACCTTTTTTACACAGCCATGGCTTACATTACTTAATACTTATCACCATTACGAATATGCTATGCTGTGAAAATCGTTTGACTGATACTGCAAACCTTCTGGAAGCAATATACGTAACATAGTCCGCCTTTTTATCCCATCCAAAAATATGATTCTAGTTTGGAGGATTTGATGATAAACACTTAGAGCACAAGAGGAACCATTAATGGCCCAATTTTAAGCATCTTCGTAATGATACTGCATATTATCGATTGTAAATAATGTAGATTTTTTTTAATTTTCAACCTTTTATCGTAAACTTACAAACTTTTATAATCTTTTAATTTCATACAATAACGATAAAATATGTATAGAATCTTATAACTTTTAAACTATTTTAGCTTAATAGCTATTCAGTGCATGTAATAAACCATTACCAATAACTCTTGTGATTTAAATAATAATCCTTTTATTGTCTTCATATCTCTGAATTTTATATCGCCTCACTAGAGATACAACCGTATTTTTACGTTCTTTTGTAACTTATGTTTCATCAATTTCTCCTCATACTGTTTATATCTGTTTCCACTAGGCGGAATTCTTCATCGTTTTTCTCACATGAGATATGCATGAAAGCGCGCAAACAATGAAAAGTTCCGCTTCGAGCGAAAAAAAATTCACTCAAAACAGCCCTTATTTACTTCATTAACAGCCTTCTCTTACAATAATTTTTAAGAAAAGACAACGTAATATTTCAACTACAGGGCATATCCAGTCATAGATAAAAAAACAAGAATGATTCTTACCTTTAAGGTTCGTAACATCCCACGATTGTTCCACCTGAAACCTCTCCTCCCAATCTTCAACTACTGCATCAATCCGCCATGATAGTATTGCTATAAAAAAATGAATGAATGTGGAATATCATATCTTTGAGTTAGGTGATTGAATGGCCCGATTTCTACTAGCGACGAATCATCCTTCCAGACGAACTTGGGCGATTAAGCGAAAGTTCCAGTTCGTCTGTGTGTAAAGACGGCAAACACACAGATCATCCATCCGGACGAACTCGGCAAAGCAGATATATCTTCGTCTTCTCGTTCGTCTTTGTGTGAACACGTGCAAACACATGGATCATCCGTCAACACGAATTTGCGCATAGTTCATCGATTTAGACTAATTTGAATGTGTAGTTCGTCTTGACGCATCATTCGTCTGTTAGTATAAATACGGGGTAAAGAACAGAGAACTACGAAAAATTCATCATAACACGGCTCTTGTGCACCCTTTTCACGACATTTCCCAATTCCCGTGCACTTTCTAAACGCGCGATTTTGTTTCGTCTGACATATTCATGTCACATCACATTCGTCTAGTTAGTTTGTCGTGTGTTCATACTCAGACAGACGGATCATTCGTCCAGACGGGTGATTTGTCTCTAGTATAAGTCCGGCCAATAATAGTAGCTATGACGTATAATAAAAAAAAACAAGAATCAAATTTTTTTGCAATAGATTGTTTTACTGAAAGAATAAACGATTAAATTTAATAATGTACTGCCAGTACATAAATTGCATTTCTTTAGTTTGTTACATTTTATTTTAGAACAATCCACAAAATAAATAGGCGACAACCTCATTTCAAGGTTCTTCGCCCAACCATAAAAAACGCAGATGATGTGAAAACATATGTCAAGTTTTTCATTCAATGTGCAATTAAATTGTATACGACCCGAAACTATTAGCATGTGCGAGCAACATAGCTACCTACCTTAAAAAAATTGGAAATTGTCACGAATTGTATTGGGTTACTTACCAAAAATAAACAGGAGGCTTAAGAGAATCCATCGATCCGCCATCAGGTCCAACGATCACAAATATTTCTACGTACATAAAAACGATCAGAGTTAGTTGTGCAGCTCACCTGGCGTAAGAGCGATGTCCTTACAGATGATCCAAGAATAATAATATTTAGTACGGACTGTATTCCTCTAAACGACATAAGTGCATGCACGGGAGAAAGTGCATGCCAGCTGTTAAAAGGGATTTGTTTTATTATTATTGTGCTAAAAACTTAATTAACTGTTACAGAATTTGTTTTATTGAGGTAATTCGCCCTGACATGCACAATAAGGCCACGCCGGTATTTACGTAAACACATGTTTATCCAACCAACTTTTTGGTTGTTAGGGCTGTTTCATTCAACGTATCTTCTATGGGTAATTAAGTACGCACACATAAACTACAAGTAATCCTTGTACAGCTAATTAGAAAAATATTCCCAACCAACTAAAAATTTCCGGTCACGGCTGTGAAGCTTGTATCTGACTACGTGGAAACGAGGCGGTTTACCTTGGCTTACCCTGGATCCCCCCCCCCCTTTGTCGGATTTCACATAACAACAAATTACAACAAAATTCGACAAAAAAAATTATGACTATAAACACCAATCCTCACTCTGCTCTATTTAAACTGGCCTCGCGCCACGGAAACGCAATTATTTTGACGTATAGCCATAAAAAAGCTGAAATTCAAGCTAGCTCATACTACCTAGCACAGATTTACCAAAGATTTATATAGCTAATCAATAAAATTAATATCACCAGCATCGTCGTTAGCAAATCCGCCAAGAAACGAAATTTCGCAGTCAGAGTTCTACTATTATTACTTTCCTTTAAAACAGTAAAAAAGGCCAGAGCGGTGCATGTCCAATCGAATTTCAAAAGACAGATTACTGGCATCTTAGTGTGATTCAAAAACCTCGAATTCAAATATATCGTTTTATTTACATCTGCTTATAGCATGGGGAATACAGTTTCATCGCTATATTGCTGAAGAAATACTCAAATATTTAAATCGCTGCTTACGGTCAAGTGACACGTGCGAGTTTTTTTCTAGCGCAAGCAACGCAACATTTTGGCAACGGTTCAAATTATTTTCGTTGCGTTGTTCGCGCGAGTTGTGGTTACACGTGATGATAACTCAACCGCTTCGAAACCAGCCTCGTACCAGGCGCTTTAGTAGTAAAATATATAACGTTGAATTCAGTTATTGCATAGATGTAAAAACACGAGCGTGCCCGGGTGGTTTTGTTTATCGGATATAATTTGTAATATAAAATTCTTAACATTAATCAACCTATAACATTTTTAAAAACCTGTAAAAACCTTAATCTAACTCATGGTAATTTTATTATGTTGTATAATTCATTTGGATGTTTACATTTTGAAATCATTTTCTGTCAGGCGCTAACTTTGTGAAAACCACCCCAAGCACCCCCGCGTGCTCGCCTGAAGATGACGAGGAAGGTAGAAGGATAGTAAAAGAAAGAATAATTCTAAAGTCACCCCTGGTTTCTAGAGCGGGAAAAAAGGCAGTCAACTTCTGTATGAATTAGCTGCAGGGTTTAAAGTAAAGCTCCCTCTGAATTGCTTTGCATGTGCAGGTAAAACATTCGATAATGTTGTAAAATATTCATACCTGGTAATTTATAGACCATTCAAGCAATATTTCAGATTGAAGACAGTATGTTAGCTCAGAGAAAATTCAAATATGAGGAATTTCGCGCCAAACCATTGCAATCATTTTTGAAATATTATTCACAGCTAGAAATCACGGTCATGGAATATGCTGATTTCATAAAATAATTTGCATATTTGTTCAAATATCTTTCATTCGCTGCGCTATAAATTATATTCGGCATTTTTGAATTTTGAGAAAATTGAGAAAATCATTCAATATTTATACAATTTACCCTGGTAGTTTCTTGTAAAGAAAGGCATATCGAAGTTCCTCAGGTAATATTTTGCTGGTACAGGTTTATATTCAGGTATTCGACGTGATAAAACTTTGGCTGGCAAATGCAGGAAGAATACTAATAAAAATTTTGAAAATCCACACCAAAATATTAGGAGGAGCTTGTTCAGCAACTAGCAATCGAGGCAAATTACAACCGATTTCTTTTTAACTGACATGAGTTATATTTTATCGTTTTAGTACTTTGTATTATACAATTTACTATAAACCAACACGGCTATAATTTGACACTGTTGCAAATTTCGACGGAAATAGCTAGAATGTTAATTTTCACCTGATTAGCGAGTTTAAAATACACCAAATCTACGACGCGGACATTACATGAAAATTGCTACCAGTGTGAGGAAATAAGTACTCATTTGTTTCACATACGGCTCTGACTTATTTATCAAAGGGAGTCCATAATTATTTTCATCCCTGTTAAGAGACTGTGGAAATTCGAGCAGAATAACTTCACGTCCGCGTCGTAGAATTGGTTTCCGGCAATGACATGGCAGAATACTAGACACTATGGTATATGACAATTTATGAACGGCTCGGAAGTTAACCAATCAAAGAAATCATAAAGGCACTTACCTTTGCAAAGTTTACGTGCGATACGTCTGTTGTGACAGATTTGTAGCAATAATTTCCTGATCAACGTGAAGAAACCCTGCCGACTAATTTAAATATTTTGATATTCATGGTATTTATTTTACTGTATAACACCATGTTCATTTAATATTGGTTCAACACAAAAAATATTCCTCGAGATAACTTGGGAAATTAATGACAGTGCCGATATATTCGACCAGGCTCGTTCATTGCTGTCGTTCAAGATACAACCTGTATCATTAATATCCGTCATGCACTGAGCAGGAACAGAGGTGTTTCAGACATCCCGCTGCTCAATTAAGCATAATCATACTCTGTTAAAGAACCCTTTTTTCACACATTTTTTCATAATTACTCCGGGTTTTTATTTCCCCGTTCATTTCCAAGTCCTAGTTTAAGTGTTACCACGCATAAGGGACAATAACTATAACGTCTGCATACTGTCTATAATAAATATAGCGGTTGGAATGAGTGTGTTTTCGTGGCATTAAGTGAACACAACTTCTTGGACTGGTCGGTTTGCGAATTTTATGGTAAAGATAAGATTATAAGCCAACATACAGTATGTTAAAGACAACGTTTAATCAAAAACATGCTTCATCACCTAAGCTATGTAATATCTACATCGTAAAGAGGAATATTTTGCTAAACGTATGATGTCTTAAGGCAAGCTAACTAAAGGCTAGTTTCTACTCCGGAAAATTCTCCTTTGGATTGGACAGGACAGGAAAGTTTCCTTTGTATAAACGCCGCCTCAGAACTCACCGACAAAGGAAATTTTCCTATCCGTTCCGATCCAAAGGGGATTTTTCCTGAGTGGAAACTAGCCTTAAGGGGCCGATTACATGGGTCATTAGGGAGTTTGAACGGCAACCGCAACGGCAAAATATATTCACCTAATATTGTGGTATTCAAAGAAAATAAGAGTTAGTATCGACTTGATTTGTCTCTTCAAGTTTCCTCTTTCTCTGAAGCAGTTATTAACTATTATAAATATGGTCGATCAGCAAAATTACTTCTAACACTCCAAACAACATCGAACACATTAACTGTTGCCGCGTTGTCATGCACCGTGAAATTAGTGTAAGTCACGATGCCGTTTCAGCAACTACGGCAGTGTGCAACGTTAAAGGTATGTAATTTACATTTTCTTTTGTCTTAAAGGATCAATGCTATTGTTGATAAAGACGTCGTGGTTGCCGTTCCCGTTGTATTTCCCAAACTCACTATTTTTAAACCTGGGGTGGAATATACCCATGTTGACCGGGATGACTTCAGTCCTAGGTTCAAAAATGGCCGCAAATAATAAATTCGCATTTTGTTTTCAGTCACGCCCGTAAATGGCACTATTACGCATGTTCAAATAACTTCAGACCTGGGTTGAAACGATTACATGACAAATTTTCATCCCCGGGGCTAGTTTTACCCCAGGGTTGAGATTTTAGCTCGGGTAGCTCAGGCAGGGATAAATCACAGTTAATAGAATATACATGGTTTGGAGACCACAAAAAACTACAAAACAACTCATTAACTATGTTGAGGTAGATTAATGGAAATATTTGCACCTTGCTCATCACATGGCTATTGTATTTTGCACAGATAAACCAATAGCAATCTTTTAATTAACATATTTTTCAAGTCAAGGTTGAGGAGCTTAGCAAGACGAATGCCACTGGTAAATTTGGCAAAATACAATAGACAAGTGACGAGAAAGGAACCATTTTTGTACTTTTATTTAGTCTACATGTATA